TCCAAGCATCATCACATTCTTCTGTTATCTCATCAATCATTGAACGCATTTCACCGACCAATCTGTCTAACATGTCGGCGGAGTCTGCTTTATTTGTTTTATCTTTTGGTTTGTCAATCGCTTCGTCGAGCTCCTCGTCACTTTGTTCCGTCGTAGAGTTGACGGAATGCTCACAACTAGACATCACTGTTGTCTCCGTCGAATCATGTATGTGATCATAGCAGGTATATGATGAATTACTCGATGAATCTTTCAGCGTTGTGCCATTCGTGGGATAAAGACTATTGTACATTTTGTCTGTCTCGATTTTAAAAGCCTCCACCTCTGGATCGAGATCGTTGATACTATATGTTGGGTTTGCTTTTAATTTAGCATTCAAAATGTCGTCGAAAGAGCTGCTGTTGAACCATGTAATCCGATCTCCTTCGAACCATGGACAGATATTTTGCTGCTTTTTTTCTTCAACGTGGACTTTTGTCGGGCCTATTATTACAATGATATAAACAGCTAGTATAGTGACGTCGAGGCATAGTACGGCCGAACCATATTGGGGAAGGGTAGGTCAAAGGTCTACAGGAATATTATAACTGACAGTAATGAAATAACTTCCAAATAAATGCTTCAATGCGAATGTATAAATTGTAGAAAAAGAAATACGGATAAAAGCATTATAATGACAATGATGTGCTTTTCAATATTAGTTGCTGTTGGTACCAACGTCCCTATGTGTCGTAATTAACAACGTAATGAAACTATTTTGCAAATTGCAGATACCACTGACTGTAGATTTACTGTCACATAGCAACTAAAAATCTACTACGGCCAAAGTATTTCCTTTTTTATTTTAAAGAAGAAAGCCCTAAATATAAATCTGCTAGGCACGCATAAACTAAAATACAATTTTATATACACGATCAGCAGATAATAAACCTACTCTCAACGATTTTCTTCTCTGGGAGAGATTTTCGCACTAGTGGTTTCTGGTTTCGCGCCACCGGCTTTGCTAGTTCAACAATTCTCTTAGAGATATTGAGCTTAGGCTTTCCAAGTAGAGATGCTGGTGACGATGTTGGCTTTCTGATGCCACAATAGTCCATACATCTGTCTCCGAATTCACGGTCAGCTTTGGAGAGACCAGGCTTAAATATGATTGTTTTGTTTTTAACTACCATGTTTCCTTATAAATTTTAAGGTTTTTGTAATAGCAGAATTCGGGGTTGAATTCTTCATTCGAATTATAACCAAAAGTTGTCTGAACAAAAGTACTTATGATACAGAAAAAGCGTTTGTTACTATCAAACTGTTTGTTTCGTTGTTAGAGTTAACTGATCTAATATGAGCTAAAATATATTTTTTAGTAAATAATAAATGCCGAATTTTTTTTTTTTCGAATCCAGGTAGAAATAGAACCACTATGATAGGTGTTACCAAATAAAAATGTGTAAAATAAATTATTTAAGAAAAATCGTTTTAAAAAATGTATCTTGTAATTTAATTATTATGATATAACTCAGATGATATAATCAGTTAATTTTTACCAAAGAATTTATGTTTTTTTTTTGTGTAGGAATTAAAGAAATCGAATTGCCGCCCGTGGAACCTTTCAGAATGGACTCGCTGAGTTTAGCCATTACCGGCGGATCCAACGGATACAAAATAACCCTGAGGGACATCGACTTGTATGGGGCCAGTAACTTTTCCATCCAAAAAATTTTGTAAGTCGCTACTGAAAATTCAAATAATATTTTCATAAAAATTATCCGCGGTGGCCTATATTTTGTGCTTGCCAGTCGGTAGCTGTTGTCAACAACCGTCTACTAGCATCGACCCTGAACGGGACGGACGTGATGCGAATGATAATACAAATCACAATTATAATAATATTATGTCCTCTTGACAAATCGGTTGTAAACAAATGGAGTTCTGTCAATGACAATATTGTTGTTATTCAACGGTTCGAAGAAAAAATTCTTATATTTTCGAGTAATATGCTTTAAACAAGGCGTTAAAGCTATGCAATTTTACTACACGCACGTTGTTCGGACATTTTACAATATCTCAAAGAATATCAAGGCAAAACATATAACACCTTCGAGCCTTACATATTATACACAATTAATTTGTACATCGTTTTTATTATCATATTGATAGGTATGAAATCATACTTTAATTTTAACTGTATTAAGTATTTTGTACGTGTCGTGTCATTGGTAAATATATTATTAAGTAATCACATCAGTTAACAACTGCAGTTGTTCCAAAAGAAGACTATTTATCAATCAAGGATTTTTCTAAATACTCCATTGTTGTTTTAAATTATACACTATCCTGTTGTCGAACACTCAAGGTTCGGTTTACTAAAATTATACATATAAATGAATAGTTATGATAATACCCTGTTCACGAAAATATACAGCTGTAATTCAAATATGAACGTGTCTAAAAAAATTTAGTTACGTTAAAAAATCTAAAATGTATGAAGAAGGTACTAAAAAAAGTTTTAAACCCTCTTAAAAACGTAAAAAATTGTCAATGAAAATGTCCCAATAATATTAAAAAATGAATAAACTTGTTTTAAAAAATAATTTATATAAAAAATCCTTTTTTGTGTTAAACATAATTTTTTACTAATTTAATAAGAAATATAGTATCTTGTTGCAAATTTACTACACACATTTTCAAGACAGCTCTTAAATAAAACGTCCAACCATCATATTATTATTAATTGAGAATAAAAACTATTTTTGGTTTTCTTGTGTTTTGACATTTGAATATAGAATTTTTTTCCCCGACAATCTATAATTTTTTTTATAAAACATTATTTGGCATAAAATATGAAAAAATTCAAATATTTTATTATTTCCTGCGCAGAAATTTTCTAAATATTTTGTTGAGGTTTAATCGAAAACATTGTGTGTCAGAACTAAATTTGTTAGTTTGAAATCAATCTATGTGAAATTGTTAAATAAAAAATATTCAAACATTTTTGTTATTGAAATATTTTCTTTATGTCAAAATATATTAACAGTTTTTTTTTATGAGGTTATGTTTTTAAATATGTATTTATGTTGCGGAGCATGTCATATTGTCTGTATCATTACATCATTTGTTTACCTAATTGTTTTACATAGGTTGCGCCCGAATTTGCCGTTCGAGGGTAAAGTGAGAATTCCAAAAATGACAATGGACGCCAAGTACGCCAGCACGGGTGTTTTATTGGTGTTGCCAGCCAACGGAAACGGAACTTTCCACGCAGATTTAGGTTGGTATTTTTAGTATAATTTTAATTACTACACAAATATGTAGGTAGTATAATTTACCTTTTCTTCAAGTATGGTGCCCATTCCTCAGGAGTCTAAAAATTATTATTATGTGATATTTTATTAAAAAAAATGTATACAAATATTACGCATTTGCATTATAAAATTTTTTACAAAATTAAAACATTTTTTTTAAAAGTATAATTTTAGATTGTGTTATATTAAAAATAAGTGTGACCGACTAAGTCTGACTCCACAGTTTTTTTAACATCTACTTGTAAAAATACAATCGGGGAGGCGGAAAAAATTGAACAAAATCGTTTAGTGAATGAAAAGTGTTTCTTATCAAACGCTTTATTATTGGACAAATTCTTTCCCAAGGGTCTACTATTTAGTGGATTTAGGACAAGGCCAATAATTCGGAGTACATATAAAATATATAGCATTTATAATGATGCACGTGCGGGAAATAATTTACAAGGACTTATTGTCGTGTTAGGGAAACCGTACCAAAAATAAGTAATTATCATACATTTCCTCTGTCATATGACCTCGTGTAAATTGACTAGCATAGTAACTTAAATAAACTAAAGATCTAACTTAGGCAACGGTTTTTTTCCATTACAGGCGATGTGATTTGTACGGCCAAAGGAGTGGTTTCCAGTTACCAAAAGGATTCGCAGGAATACTACAACTTGGACGTTTTGGAAGTAGACTTGGTTATCAAAAAAGCTTACATGCTCGTTAGCAAAGTTAACAACAACAGGATAATTGGTGAACGAAAATTTATTATTACTTAACGTTAACCCACTCAGTAGGGAAAATAATGGTTTTAAAAAAATTGTTATACCTAATATATTTTTGGCCAGAAATTAAATATTGTTTACAAAATGCTCATATAATACTAAAATTTGAATAGTAATTATTATAATATTACTTTATATTTTAACAACGTTTCGTAAATATTATTTATAGAACATATACTTTTCAACTATTAGGAAAATTTTTTGATAAAATGTAGACAACACATATTTCATGTTTCTACTGACTGGATAGGGTATTTATTAAAATAGTGTTTAATACTTTTGTGATAGTTCTTTGTGAATGATTTTCTAAAAAAAAAAGACTTTTTTTTTTCAGTAGAACTTACCCGAAAATACAAATAAAAAATATTGTCTTAACAATAGTTTAAACATTAATTTAAATGGTCAACATAAAAATCAATAACTTCTTCAAGTTTTTATGATTTTCGCTAAGTTTGAAGAGACACAATTAGACCGTTTTATACATAAATAGCTTACTGTGTGTAATATTGTTTTGTAACCGACTTGCAATTACTTTTTCAGTGGAAGCAACAAACTTGTTCTTGCGTGAAAACGGTCAAGAAGTCTTGCAAGTGATGATGCCTCAACTCAGAACTAAATTGGCAACGATTTTCAAAAGGATAGTCAACCAACTGTTGACACACGTACCGGCCGAGACTTTCTTCAGCAACTAAACGATTAACCTGATGCAAATATTATAATATGAAGAAAAAAAATTAAGATATGCACAAATCTATTTTTTTTTTCATTCGAGTACACCACTTATCACGTTCTCGTAGTTTAAGACTTGTATTTCATTTAAGATTACTGATTATAATATATACTAATATTTGTATATTATTATTGTTTAAATGATATTATTTTTTACTATTATATTTTTTTTACTGTTAATTTTAATATATTATGTATAAAATCAACTTTTTTTGTTGTTTTGACTGAACCCTTACTCGTTTTCAAAACGAAAAATAATATTTCCCGTAATAAAAACAAAATATAAAGAGTGTACCATAAATTTATGCCACATTTTTTTCTAAATTATCTATAGATTTTGTTGATTTCTTTTAAAAATTATATAAACAATATCATTAACGAATACTGAGTGACATATTTATTTTAAGAGCATTTTGGTTGAAGTATCGTAGTATACATTTTTTTAAATATATTATATTTATTATTTTTACTAAAAAACTAACTTTTGAAAATGGGAAAAAATACCTGATTTTGACATCATACGGTGTTTAAAAGACATATATTTATGATATACCTGTATATTTTACTTACATGTGGATTAATTCCTAACAGCGTTTCCAAGACGGTATTAGTGGGTACTTCAAAAATTCAATTCATACTAAATAGTTTAATATTCATAATTCTTTAGATGAGCCCAATAAAATATAATTATGAAAAATATATATTATTTTATTTGCAACGATTTAATGAATTAACTTTTATATTTTAATTGAAAACATCTTTCTTATAAAGCGCAGAGAGTTAATAATAATGATATAGTATTATATTTTATTCAAAATATGCATATTAAAAATAGTCATAAAGAATATATGTGGCTTAAAATGGCATTGTATATAATAATAACCAAAATATATAAAATACCTAATATATATAATATTATATTATTTGTTTAGTTATTTAGTTATTATTTGGACGGTTTGGTATTCACCCGAAATCTTTTCGAACCCGTTTTAAAACGTATTTTTCATTTTACTCGTACATATTATAATAAGACAGACACAATATAGAGTCCATATAAATATAATACAGAAGACTCGAATGGAATATTAAAGTAACTGTCGATTTCTACACAGTAGAATAAGTAACGCTTTTTAATCACATAATCCTACTCAGTATTTGTTCGTTTTTGAAAATTTAATAGTCAGGTCATTATAATTTATTTATTTCTATTAGTCTTTTCTATTTTCTGTAGAACAGGTCAGATCAGGCTTAAATATAATGATTTTATTATGTTTGAATTAGGTTATTATGTTTTAAATATAACAGTGAAATTAATTTATTAATCAACAATTAAATGTGATTACATTTTAGTTATAATAGTATAAGTAAACCCAACACTTTGGCTTAACTTCAATGTTGTGATAAAAACGAATTGTCAGAGAAAAATATAATAATATATAATAATAAATATAAAATATATAATAATATGTAAAATATAATAATAATAATACGTAAAAAATTAGGTTTTTGTACATTTACAGTATATATATATAAGTACAACACAAATTGTTTCAAGAAATATCCGTGAGGTTTAGCCGTCATCGGAGATGAAAACTTACTTATTTGACTCCACTTTAATGGTCCGTTAAAATTAAACGAATTAAATTAGTCTACAAAAATTAGGTTTATAAGAAATGTCTATGACTATTGATTCATTAGACATTTTTAATGACTATTGATTTATTAGACCTGTTTAATGACTATGCGACATGGTCCCTTGGCTAATATTATCATTAATCCCGACAAACCAGTTTTCAATTGTTTGAAAAAACTCGAGTAGAGTTCGTTATCGATTTTAATTTCTAGGTACAGCCGCGTCCACCTTATTGGAAAAAACCAGTTGATTGCCCTCTTAGATTTACCGTTATTTGAACCACTGACATTCTTCTTAGCCAGTCAAACTGCCAGCACCAACTTTTCTTTAACGATATTCTGTTTTGAACCCGAAGGGAAACAATAGCCGTTCCGCCCACTCACTTGGTAATAAAATTATCCATAAGACAATAAAAAAAAATATATATATATATATGAGTTTATTGATAGTATAGGCTAACCGAACCAACTGAATAATGTAAAAAGTAGTTTTTATATTATGATACAAACAATACCTGTCCTTTACATGTATCTCTTCTTAGTATTTCATTATTTGTTCAATGCTATCAAAATAAATTTATACAGTACAAATTTGGTAGCAAGACTTCGTTGAGAGTATGGTATTACAATATTATGCCAAACTAGGTGTATTTGTATTTAATACTAAAGTAGCACTTTATAGTGCTTTTTATTTAAATCTGTCTTATAAGGTCTTACAACAATGCATAAACAAATACTCGAAATGACAGCTCCTCGAATTTTCCGATAGAATCTTAGCCGTGCTTTTTTCAAATCAAAACATTTTTCATGTCTTCTTTGTTATGTTTTGCTTAATTAATGACGTCAATCTATAAATTAAACCCGTGCGTCATTTATTAAGAAAAGCTATTAGTTTTGTTTTTCATTTGGACGTCTGGAAGTATTGCATTTATATATTATGCAAAAACAACATAAACTTAAATTGTAAAGTCATGTGAACAATTATAATTTGTCAGGTACTTACTCATTATAAATTTGTTGTTTTCATGATTTTAAACTGTTACGTCTTATACAATATAATGGATAAATCAATACGTCTTTATATGACGTATCAAGAAGTATAGTAACTAACAATAAATTGATGTGGAAGATGAATACAAATTATTTCTTCAAATTTAATATACATTGCTGATAATTTTAACCAGGAATGTCACTCTTGTATTTGTTGTTGTACTATTTAGTAACGCTCTTTTATACACATCGAGTTATTATTTTTCACAAAAAAGTGATTTCGTTAGAAATACACTAATTTTAATTTGTGCCTGGACGGTATCAATTTTTACAGATTTATTGTAATAGCTTTTGAATAAAAATTTGTTGTCCATACAGTTTATAATATAACTTAGAGCTATACTACTAGACAAAAAAAAATATTTATTTTCAACTACTTAGGTGAGGCCTAGTACAATTCAGTGAAAAAATTATAAATAATTTTATTTCTTGCTATGTACATATTGTACATAGGTAAACTACTTTATTTCAATAAAACAAGCGGACTGCTCACCCCGTAAGTTGCCTTTGCAACACAGTTTACAAATCAATACAATGTACACACATAATACGGAGAAATAAAGTTCTCTTTACTAGATTTTGTTGGAATCCCATTCTCATTTGAAAATACAAATTTTTGGAATTAATTCAAACTAATATACAGATTATTCAGTTAAAATATGTAAATTTTTTACTAAAAAGACAGACGACGGCTAATCTCCTATTTGTTTTCTCTATTTATATGCAACTTTATAATTAATACTCAAAAGATTGTTTGAAGACGTTATAAACATTTATTATCCAATTTACATTCTAAGGGAAAAATCGGAAACATTTTTTTAATGAAACAGATGTAATGCCTTAATATTTTTATAGCGTTTTAAAAACATTTTGGTTTTATTTCACATTTTTAATTATTTGTTTAAAAACATTTGTAAATATTTCGATTAAATCAAGAAAAACACTAACACTATAATAAATTATCAAATTCGATACTGTTTATCTTAAAAAAAAATTATTACTAATTTTAATCTGATATGATTATTGTTTATTGAGACATTATTTTGTATTATAGCAGCTGGCAAAAGATATAGATGTTTATCATAAGAAATTTTTGTACTGCAGTCCGTATCAATGTTATTATTTCGTTTTGCCTTTTTTGGCGGATACGGACATGTTGTATGGGCTACTGTTCGAATAGCTAATTCGAATTCAACAGTGGTTAATTCGTGCGTCATCACAGCCGTTGAAATTCACTTATACATTATGTATGCGTAGCCAAGGTATATTGTATATATATATATATATATATATGAATACAAACTTATGTTCTGGCGTATTAAGTACACACGTGTAAGCGGTCGACACCGTTGATGTGCTAATATTATGTTTTCATTCCGCCGTGAAAGCATCATCACCTAATACTAATGAATACTATTTTATAGCCATGGATGACTATGATAGACAGTGTGAGTCATGAGTATAACATATAAGGAAGCCCGGCAGCGGCGGAACATTGAGAAATGATATATTGAGATGGTTTAGAAATTTTAAATAAGGCTGAAAAATGAAATAGTAACATAGGATATGAGAAATTTGTAAACGTGATCCATGAAGATAGAGGTAAACCATAAAAACCAGTACAGTGGGGTCGGGGCATAGTGGGGACGGGGAGGTCACAGGTTTAGAGGAATTTTTAAATCTGAAAGTGATAAAATCACTTTCGAAAAAACGCTACAAAAAAAAAACGCCTTATTATAATATAATACAAATTTAATGCAATACAATAAAATTTAGCCGCCCTCTAATAATCAGCGCCCGGGGCAACAGCCCCCTGTTGTCCCCTCCTAAATACGGCCCTGCGTAGCTTCGTCGTTTTCTTTCCATATGGTAAGCTATCTTGTCTGTAAAGATTTTATGTGTGCTGTAAACTTATTTCATTTTCATATTTAGACGTACATGGGATTATATTTAATTTGAAAAACTAGTTAAATGTATACGGTTCTTTTTTAGTTTCATAAGATATCCTCTTTAATTTTGACTTCTGACTGAAAAAAACTTGTATGATGTTACTGTGGCATCAAATTGTCGTTAAGGTAAATATTGATTGTGTATTGATCATTTTGTGTCATTTTGATTGTTATCTAATATTTGACGTCAGTATAATTCTATAATTTTTCAGTACAATGTTAGAATACGTGAACTGGAAGATAGTGGCTGAAGATAGAGGAGCGGCGGTGTTGGGCGCCGGCGCAGTAGGCGGGTGGTGTTACCACCGATGGTGTTCGGTAAGTACAAATTAAACAGTATCTGACACCGGCTCTATACAATTTTGATCTATTAAAAGGTTGTCTCTGTCTCTGAAAGTTGCGATTTTCTCAAAACGAATGTCGCTTAAAAGTTCGAAATTAATGGAGGGTGGCAAATTATGCAAGCTGTCCCGACCCGGCGTTTCCCGGGTATATATGTATTAGACATGGTCATGTATTAGACAAACAATCAGCTGTATCCTATCTGTGGTATGAAAAATGGCACCGTAGATAGA